TAGAAATGGGGGTCTCGTTCTTGCTCAGGCTGATTTCTAACTCCTAAGCTCAAGCAGTCCACCTGCCTGTACTTTTCATAGGGCTAGGATTATAGGCATGAGCCATCATGTCTGGCCTCATATGTCTCCTTTTGCTTTTAGGTTTAGAACTCCCTTAAACATTTCTTTTTTTTTTTTTTTTTTTTTTTTTTTTTTTTGAGATGGAGTCTCACTATGTCACCATTGGTAGAGTGCCATGGCATCACAGCTCACAGCAACCTCAAACTCTTGGGCTTAAGCGATTCTCTTGCATTAGCCTCCCAAGTAGCTGGGACTACAGATGCCTGCTACAATGCCTGGCTATTTTTTTTTTTTCAGTTATCATTTCATTGTTATTTAGCTGGCTCGGGCTGGGTTTGAATCCACCAGCCTCAGTGCATGTGGCAGGCGCCGTTGCCACTGTGCTATGGGTGCCAAGCCCCTTGAACATTTCTTTATAGCTGATACAATGTTATGAATGCCCTCCATTTTTGCTTCTCTGTAAGATACCTTATATTTTCTTCAATGATGAGTGATAAATCTGAAAATATATAATACTTTTTCTAGCAGTTTTTTTCTTTTAGCATTTTGAATATAACATTCCATTTTCTCCTAGTCTGTAGAGTATTACTGAGAAATTTGCTATTAGTCCAATAGAGGTTCCCTTATATTTGACTAGATTCTATTCTCTTGCTTTTATAATTCTCTCTTTGTCTTTGATTTTTGATGTTTTGACTATATGGTCATGGAGAAATGACATGTTTGAATTGTGTCCACTTAGGGATCACTGCTCTTTCTGTATCTAAACCTCTTGTTAAATTTTGGAATTTTTATTTATTTTTGTTAATTCATTGTCTATGCTATTGATGTCTTCATCTTCTGGAATTCCCAAAATTCAAATAATTGGTCACTTTATAGTGTTTTTACATCATGTAGTCTTTGTTCTTTAGTTTCCCGCTTTTTTCTATTTGATGGTGTTATTTCAAAAAACCTACCCTCAGGTTATAAAATTCTTTCTTCTGTTTGATCTAGTCTACTTTTGAACCTCTGGATTGTATCTTTTATTTCATTCATTGAGCTTTTTCCTTCCAGTATTTCCATTTGCTTCTCTTTGGTGAATTTCTCATTCATGTTCTTAATTATTTTTATGATTTTTTTTTCTGTTATATATATTTTTTCTTTATATCTCTCTGAGCTTCTTTAATATCACTACTTTTAACTCTTTTTCAAGCTTTCTCATTGTAACTTCTGTTATACAATTATTGTATTTATTTGGAGATGTCACATTTTTACTTCCCTTTCGATGTTTCTTATGTCTTTAAATAGATATCTGTACATCTGATGTTATAGTTGTTTCTTCCAGTTTTTTTTTTTTTTTTAAGACAGAGTTTCACTATATGGCCCTCAGTGAGTACTATGACATCACACCTCACAGCAACCTCAAGCTCTTGGGTTTAAGTGTTTCTCTTGCCTTGGCCTCCCAAGTAGCTGGGACTATAGGCACCTGACACAACACCTGGCTATTTTTTTTTTTTTGTTGCAGTTGTCATTGTTGTTTAGCAAGCTCAGACCAGTCTTGAACCCACCAGCTTCAGTGTATGTAGCCAGTGCCCTACTCACTGAGCTACGGGTGACGACCCTCCTTCTGGTTTTTTAAATTTGTTTTCATGGGGGAAGATATTTTACTTAAGATATAACTATGTTGTTTATTGAATAGGACACTTTGGTTTTGATTTGGGGTACATGCAGTAGTGTAGTGTCTGTATTATTTCGTTGGCTTTATGCAGCATTAGTGGTGTCTGTGATTTCTGCAGTAGCATAGGATCTGGTTGTTAGTGGTTGCTGTGCTAAGGTTTAATTGGGAATGAGGACCTAAGGTGGACCAGTGTTAGGCCTTCATCATGGCAGCAATGGGCTGATCATGCTGGTCCTTGGTTCCTCCAGCTGCATATATATGGTCATTAGTGTTATTTAGCCCAGGCATGTTGACTAGGACCTCCAGGCATCTTCCAGGGTTCCAGTGGTGGCAGCAGTAGACCAGGTGCTTATTTAAGTCCTTTAGCTCCTGAGCAGCATGTGTGGTATGGGCAACTTCAGTCACAGTGGTAATGACAAGGCTTAGGCTTCTAGTTTGCATGCACTGGTGTTTGTGGTGGCTGTGATGAGTTGTACAGGGAAGTCCTAAAGTTCTTAATTGACATTTGTGATGGCTGGAAGTGGTTGCGGTAGCAAGGTGGAAGGGCCTGTACTTTGAATCTCACAAGAAGTGAAGAGATGCCGGTGATGGAGGAATGGGCAGGGTAATCCCTTTCAGTAGGCATGTTTGTGTCCCAGAAGCAGGTTTTCTGGGCCTTTTATTAGACTTCCTGGTTGCGTGCATGTACACTTGGGGTTTATTGATGGGGCAAGTGATCCCCATGTTCCCACCTCCTGTGATAAAGCTCTGAGTGGAACGGTGACAGGTAGTAATGCCTGTCCTTAGGTCTCCCTGATGATGAACAGCCATAGGCTGTGGTGGGTGGGAAGAAGTGCCATGGTGGATGGGCCTGTTCTCAGGCTCCTCAGTAGTGTGTATGGGTACAGGTTGGGGTAGGAAGGGCATGGAATCTGTGGTGGGAAAGTGAATCCTTTCTCTACATTGGAGAGCTTCTTGGTTGCCTCATTTCCATCTCTTTTCATGCCTCCTATTTCCTGACTCTGTTCTGTGGAATTCCACTGTTCTTTATTAGATGTTCTATTTGAAGTTTCATTGTGTACTCATCATTTTGGTTCTTTTTCATGGAGGAGGTGAGTGTCTGGTGCTTCAGTCAGCCATCTTCGAGCCCTCCTCCTAACACTTTGATAAATAACCTCTTTTGCCAAGGGAAGGGTGCCTCATTCCCGTAAACTTTTAATCATTCAGTTAAATGAGTGGGTAGAGAAGACATAAGCAATGCCTCATTGTGGCATTTGGTTCCTTGTAGTGTTTTGAGATCCTTTTTGAATGTCTTATAGGACGCCAAAGTTACAGAGAAGTAAAAGGTAACATGGAGCAGTAGCTTTTAAAGATTGCTGAATATTTGTAATAATACCCTTCTCATGGCATGTGATTGATTTATAAATCATGAAGTGATGTATGGCAAAGTTGTGGACAAAATATTGCTACCATTTAATGTTACTTTCCATATCTAAAAATGACTGCAGCTTAATTGCTTGGAGTAGGACTTTGAAAGCGAAGGGGCAGAAGGTCAAATAATTAAATCATGACTTCTAAAGGCTGTGTGTAAAACACTTTCTGCTCATGAAAGAAAATATTTGGCTATGTTATTGTATAGTAGTCACATCCCAGTAATTTTTCAGTAAATAGTTTGTACAAACTTTGCAAGTAATATTTAGAAATATGTACAAAGTTTATTGCCCTTTCTCCATGCAATAGTAGAAAATTATGAGAAGTATAGAATAGCTTGTACCTTCCCCTTTCTAGGTTAGAATTCATTGGCATTTACTTTGGTAAATAAGTTTCTTGTTTATTTTATTGTTTACCATAAATCCAAAAAGTACATGTTATTAGACATATTTTATGCAGTACTTATAGAAACTCTATTAATACATTTTCAAAATTACCTAGAACTCAAACATGTGAAGTCATTTTCCAAGATCATACAGCCAGAAGTATATAATTTATGTACTTTATATAAGTAGACCTATCTATGTTAAGACAATTTTTTTTTTGTTATTTGAGACAGACTCTCACTCTTTCACCCTTGGTAGAGTGCTGTGAAGTCATAGCTCACAGCAACCTCAAACTCTTGGGTTTAAGTGATTCTCTTGCCTTGGCCTCCTGAGTAGCTGGGACTACAGGTGCCACCACAATGTCTAGCTATTTTTTTTTGTTGTTGCAGTTGTCATTGTTGATTTTAGCTGGCCCGGGCTATGTTCAAATCCACCATCCTTGATGTATGTAGCCAATGCCCTAACCACTGTGCTACAGGCTCTGCCACTATGTTAAGACAAATTTGATATTCTCAGCTATTCAATTTTACTAAATCTTTGAACTTTAATGTTTCTTTTTTTAACATTGAGAACATCTGTTTATTCTAGAGATATTTGTAATCTTTAAAACATATCTTTAAAAAAGATAAGTGCTAAAAATAATGAGCTAAACATTCATTTCAATAAATTAAATACATTTAAACCCCCCAAAGTAGAAGACAGACAAGGTATTACTAGAAAAATTCATGGACTAGAAAGCATGCATACAGTAGAAAGAATCAGTGCCAAAAGTTCATTCTTTGAAAAAGGTAATAGAACGGATAAACCACTGGTAAGTGAGTAAAAGAGAGAGAAGACGCAATCCATATTAGAAATGACAAAAGGAACATCTTGCAGACATTAAAGAGATTCAGAATATATTATAAACTGTTTATAGTAATAAATATAAATTTAGGACAAATGAACTAATTCCCAGAAAAATTTAACTGTGACTCAAGGAGAAAGAGGCAACATAGTTTCACAATGATGAAAGAAACTGAATCAATGGTGAAAAATCTTCCCACAGTTAAACTCCAGCAAACTGGTTCCACTGGCTGGTTCCTGAGACATAATTTATACTTCTACTAAGAGGCGAGCATAACTTTTTTCATTAAATCATAACTGTGTACACTGATGCATTAATGGGGTTCTGTGTACTGATTTGATGTACAATGTGAAATGCTTACATTGAACTGATTAACTCGTCTATCACCTCACAATTATACTCTTTTCTTAATAGTTTTGAAATATTTTTTAATTTTCATATTTTTAATTAAAGGATGCATTAGTATCAAGGAAAAAAAGCAGAAGTTCAAAGACCAGTTAAGATTGAGCATAATATTTGCCATAGGAGAGCTAAAATGTTTGCTTTAAAAAAAAATCAGGGTTTGTTAATTTCTAAGTTGTATGAAATTACTATTTTAAAGTTAAAAATCCCTTGATATTTTATTTTTCCTGTAAGTACTGGTTACAAAAATATGGAATGCTTCACAAATTTGCATGTCTGCCTTGCACAGGGGCCATGCTAATCTTCTCTGTATTGTTCCAATTTTAGTATATGTGTTGCTGAAGCCAGCACCCCTTGATATTTTTTCTTTAAGACTTTTTTTTTTTTCAGTGTTTGGCTGGAGCTGGGTTTGAACTCGCCACCTCCGGCATATAGGGCTAGCGTCCTCCTCCTTTGAGCCATAGGCGCCTCCTTTCTTTAAGATTTTGATTAACTTTGAAAGTTTCTTTTTTTGTTTAAAAGTATTTAGAGAGTATGAGAGAAAATTTCAGGATTGCAATTTTTAATCTTCCTTCGTTTAAGAAAAAATTCATGTAATTAGATTAAAACTATAATTGTAAAATGAGAAGAACATTCTTAGAAAAATAACACATGGGGCAGCGCATGTGGCTCAAAGGAGTAGGGCACCAATCTCATATACCGCAGGTGGTGGGTTAAAATCCAACCCTGGTCAAAAACTGAAAAAAAAAACCAAAAAAAAAAAAAACAAAAAAAACACCTTCCTTCAATTCTACCTATGGTGAAAAAATATCATAGAAATGGTGAACAAAGTATACCTTTTACTTTGTAGTTCTTAAAAGTATATATGCAAGCTCTATTAACCAATATTTTGTATTTCATCTAATTACTTGAATTACAAAAAGTTTCCAGATTAGCTATTTTGTATAGCTATATAGATATATGTATTTTATTGCAAACATAAATCATACAGATATTTTCATTTATATTTAGGAAAAAAATATGTAATTTTCCACTAGCTAATAATTACTTATAAAATTTTGCATTCTGAATATCCCTGAGTAATTATGGATTCATATCATAAGATAACATCTTAATTCCTGTTTTTAATACATTTCAATCTATTCTCTCTCTCTCTCTCTCTTTTTTTTTTTTTTTTTTGCAGTTTTTGCCCGGGGCTGGGTTTAAACCCGCCACCTCTGGCATATGGGGCTGGCACCCTATTCCTTTGAGCCACAGGTGCTGCCACTCTATTCTCTTTCTTAACTTAATTTTTAGTGAATCATAACTATATATATTTATGGGGTACAATGTGATTATTCAATATACAATGTGGAAGGCTTAAATCAAACTAACAGAACCATCACTTCACTTATTTTTGTGGCACGACATTTATAGTATACTATTAGTAGTTTTGAAATGTGCCCTTGCATTGGGTACATTAGGTGAGATTCTGCCCAAAACCCTTCCTCCACTCGTCCTCCCTCCTCCACGCCCCTTTTCTTCCTCTCCCCTCTATCTTTCTGGACTGTTTGCATTTTATCATTGGTACTAATGTATAAGTGATTATATATTGATTTCATAATAATATTGAGTGCATTGGATACTTTTTTCCTCATTCTTGAGATACTTTACTAAGAAGAGTATGTTCCAGCTCCAAATGTAGCTTTCAGTGTTCAGTGCATTTGAACAAAATCAAACGCAACTAAATTCATAAAAAGGTTTCCTAGAGTAATAATCACATCTCAGTACATTATTTAAATAGCTTAATTGAAGGTATTTCATGTTTGGAAGATGCTCTATTTGAATATGAATATATAACTATTTTATAAAGAGGGGGCATTACCTTTTTCAGGTAAAGAAATCAAAGAGCAAAAAGGGATTGGTCTGGGGTAATAGATTTACTTATCCATTCACCAATTGATGGATATTTGGATGTTTGCAATGTTGGCCATTATGAAAAATGCTGCAATGATTAGTATTTAAACAGATTTGGTGACAGTGGTAACTATAGGTATTAATAGAATCTGAGAGCCATTATTAATGATACTGAATGTAAAGGAGGAGAGAGCACTTTGACAGGCAGTAAGCAGTGTGGAAACTGAGAAAAGGTTATTGTAAATAGAAGAAAAATTCATCTGGTTAATGGTAGTTAAGGTTTTCTTTCCTCTGGGAAAATTATAAATCAATATCCTATTCTAATAAATAGGTACCTACTTAAAGGATTATTTTGAAATACAGATAGGAAGAAATTATCAAACTTACAGAAAGATAATTTTAATGATCTATATGAGAACTGTAAGACATTTTTTTAAAGGGAAACATTGCTGACAACTTAAAAATATATAAGTTAATGGAAACAAGTGATTCATGTCGTGTGTGCAGAATATAAGCTTCTAATAGTTCTTTTTACCCTTTTAGAAAATGACTGCTATTTGGTATTTGGGCATCTATTTGAAATCCTCTAGGGACACACTTTTACAGTAATTGTTCATGTAGATCCTGTGACATGGTTGTCAATTCTGTTATTTACCATAAAGCACTCTACTTCTTATTTAATCAAGTTATCAGGCAGCTTGTATTACCTTGTAGGTTTTAAATATGACTCTTCATAATATGAAAAAAGCCAAATGAGTTTCTCAATAATAGAATGTGATCGTATACTTTATTGATAATTTTCTTTTCATATGATTCATTGAGCTCTTCTGCTTACCTTGTATCTAAGCAACAGGTCTATACACCTGACTTAAGAGGGGAGGATATGAATGCTTGCTGTGACTTTATTATGTTCTGAAATTATATTGAACTTTCTAGAATAGTCCCTCTCCCCAATGTGTCCCATAGAATGCTAGCTCCAATATATGCCCATTAAAATAGTAAAAAATCTTTGGTTAAGTAAGTTTAGAAAATGTTGTATACTATATCCTTTCTATTGAATATTTACAATGTATTATGACAGGTTCTTGGAAATACGATTGAAAGGAGGCATGTTAAACTGGTTATAACCCACTATTTTCCAAGGTTGTTCTACAACAGAACTCTTTACATATACCAAAAAATATCACATGAAAGTAGTAATCTGTGAAAGACTGATGGTAAATTCTGATGTAGATAAAAAGGTATTAGATAAACTTAATACTTCCTAAATGTTATTCCTATTTGTGTTACTAGAATTATGGATATGAAGGAAAAGTAAATGGGAAAAATCATATCCCTTCTCCTCATCCTTGAGTAAATAAGGCAATAGGAATCCCAGGGCAATCTCAGTTTCCCATACAATCAGCTGTGAGCTCACAAAGCATAGTATTTTGGATATGCTTAATTTCCTATATTTATATTTATCTATTTGGGAAGAGATTCTTTATCCACCAGAATATTAACCCCGGTAGTGAAATTGTTCTCTTATTTTATTTATTTATTTATTTTATTAAGTCTTTCGTACATAGATCATAAATACATTTATGCCATTATAGGATTCAATGTGATGATTATTTGTACAAACTGGAATGTTTACATTCTATTAAACAACACAGCCTTCAACACTTTACCCAATTACAGGATTAAGACATTTATGCTCTACACCTGATAGATTCAACGTGTACTTACAATATGCTCCACAGGTGTGGTTCCCCCAACAACCCTCCCTCTATTGGCCCACCCCCCTCCCTTGTTCTCTTATGTTAAATCTCGACTTCCTAAGCTTCTAATGGTGAGACTTTAAGCAACGTGTCTGATCATCTAATGGTCTAATCCTTTATTTTCTCATCTATAACATAAGCATATTAAGGTTGCACACCTCGTAAGGCTTTTGTACAAGTCCACTGACAAAGTGATTCACTAAGAACAATGCCTGGCATTGCTATGTATCACAAAAGACAAGCCAGATGTGAAATCATCCTCATGTTTTGATCTGAATTTTGACAAAACAAATTAAAACATACATTGTAGAGAAGAATCCCTATTCAATAAATCATGCTGGGAAATTTGTTTAGCCACATGTAAAAGACTGAAAAATGATCCACACACTCACCATTTGCAAAAATTAACTCACAGTGATTAAAAGACTTAAACTATAATGAGGATGACTATATATATTTATATATTATAATATAGTATTATATTGTATTATGTAATATATATATATATTATAGTTGTAGGCAACTATATTGAAGAAAACATTGAAAAAAACTCTTAATATTGGCCTAGACAGAGAATTCATGAAGAAGACCGCAAAAGCAATCACAGCAAGGACAAAAATAAATAAATGGGATCTGATTACATTAAAAATCTTCCGCACAGCCAAGGATACAAAACAGCAAATAGACAACCCACAGAAAAGGAGAAAATATTTGTATGTTATACATCTGATAAAGGACTGATAACCAGAATCTACAAGGAACACAAACAAATCAGAAAAAAAGAACCAAGCAACTCCATTAAAAAGTAGGCAGAAGACAACACAGTAACTCTCCAAATGAAGATTTACTAATGGCCAACAAACTCATGAAAAATCCCCAGTGTCTCTGATTATTAGGGAAATGCAAATTTAAACCACAATGAGATATCACCTAACTCCAATGAGAATGTCTTGTATTAAAAAGTCCCAAATAACAGATGCTGGGATGGATGTGGAGAGGAAGGGACTCATACTGTTGGTGGAACTGCAAACTAGTGCAACCTCTATGGCACACTGTATGCAGATACATCAAGGAACTTATAGTAGATCTACCATTTGATCTAGCAGTCATACTGACGGGTGTGTACACAAAGGAAAAACGGTCATTTTCTAAAAAGGATATCTGCACTTGAATGTTTATAGAAGCACAATTTACAGCTGCAAAGAGATGGAAGCAACTCAAGTGCACACCAATACACAAATGGCTTAATAAAATGTGGTTTATGCATACTGTGGCACATATATGCATGCTACTTAGCTATAAAAAATGAGTGAGCTAGTCTCTTTTTGGACAACCTGGAAGGAGCTGGAAACCATTTTTCTAAGTGAAAGAGCACAAGAATGGAGAAACACATGCACTCAATATCAAATTGAAATGAATCTGTCAACACTTAAGTGAACACACGGAAGTAAATCACAATGAAAATCAAGCAGAGTGCAGGAGGAATCAGGGAGGAGGGGATGGGTAAATTCACATCTATTGGGTACAGTGCATACTGTCTGGATGAAGGACACACTTACGTGTATAACTTTGATGCAATCTGTACAAAAACAAAGTGTGTAAACCAAATGCGTGCCTCCTGACATTCTGAAGTAATAAAGACAAAAACCAAACAATGGCTGGCATGTGTTGGGCATTTAGACAGCAAGAACATAA